TCTGAATCCACCACAGAATCCGTGACAACCTCAGCCTGGGCTGCCCTAGCTTTGGCCGCACGGGAGGACTTAGGACACTCTTTGGCCACATGCCCAGAGCACCCACAGAAGAGGCAGAGGTTGTTCTCGAAACGACGCTGGCATTCTTCTTTGGTGAGCTTGCCACTCTTGTCAAGTTTCGAGGACAGATCAGAGTTGGGTTGCTTTCCCTTAGACTTTTTAGGGTCCTTGGTAGAGTGATCAGCGGAGGTGGAGGGGTCGGATGTGGAGTCAGGAGGGTTGGAGGACTTAGAGTACTTCGGGTTCTTGCCTGATTTCGTGTTCTGCTTGGAGGAGTCGGGTGAGGTAGCTCGATCTCTCGGACAGTGCGACAACTCGCCCTTGCGCTCCCAATATTGTCCATCGATATCTTGGGCAAGAGAGTGCATGTCATGCAACGAGCATGGCTTACCATAATGAGTGATCTCGTCCTTGATCCTATCCAGCAACCCATTATAGAAATGGTGCCTCAAGGCAACCTCACCATATCCGGGTAACTGTGAAGCATTGCGATTAAACTTGACAACGTACTTGGCAATCCTGTGATTATCCGACATAGTCAGAGTACTCAGATGACGCTCAGCATCACCAAAGGGGTTGTGTGGGCCGAAGTTCTCTTCGAGTTCTTGGACAAAGAGTTCATAGTCATCCATCCAGCGTGGATGGCAACGCGGGTTACCATGAAGAAGTTCAGGCTCAAACCAACTCAGAGCAATCCCCTTGAGGAATGACGTAGCATAAATGACTTTGGTACGCTTGTTGACAAATGCTTGGGGGCGGTTCTGGAAGTTGAGTTCACACTGAACAAGGAAGGTACGGAGTTTCTGAGGGTCAGTACCGTCAAATTGGTCAGGCTCACGAAGCTTCGTCCTATGGCTGGGGTCTGGGGGTTGGCGAGCAGCAGTGGTTGAGCGGGCCAGGGTGGCAATAGCGTCCGTCAACTGGGCCAACACACAGCTACCTGGGTCATCTGGCAGCTGATCCTCAGTGTCAAAAACCCGGATCGTAGGGGTAAATGCATGAGTCCGAATGCAGGCGGGGCTCAACTAGAGGGGGGTCCGAGAGCTCCGGTAGTGGACCGAAGCTTCTCAGGGAGCCCGGTTCTGCTGGATGGTACAAGAGGCTCTAAGAAGGACGCAGCCTCAGCGACTTGGAGGGAGCGCTGTGCCTCCGTTACGTCTCAGTTAGTCCTTGTATTTCTTATGTCTGAGGTATCTTGTAGAATGGGAACGGGATTCACTCAGAGGGACTTTGGGTGGCATTTTAGTCGAGATTAGAACTGAGGAACTACAGGTTCTAATCTATGGGTACTTATAAAGGGGAATGGAAAGGACTTAGTCAAAGTCCGAATGACAAATGGGACAACACCGAAAGGTGCCAAATGATACCGAGAGGTACCGAACGATATCTTTAACGGGGAACTGAGGTGTCGGACCAAGGAGGGCGGAGTAAGAGGCCGGAAAATGAATGGGAATGAGAAATGGGTAAGGGGGGGGTTAGCCGACTGAATGATAAGAAGAAGATAGTTGTGCTAAGAATGGAAGGTGACTAATAAGTGATGATGTGGGTGAGATCACCGAAGGATGCGGGTAACTCCGAAAGCGGAGTTGCGTATCCAAAGGATGTTGGGTGACTCAAATAAATGAAATGGGTGGAAGAATGGTTTAAGGGTATGTCATGGGGTGTCGGAGGCCTGTCGGGATATCAGAGCAAATCCGGGGTCTCCAAATGTTCCGACTCGGGACCGAGCTTCCGGGATGGGAGTGGCCAAGGTTCGGTGTGCTGCAACTAGACTGGAGCTGAGATAGTCAGGAGGGAAGGTGACTTGGGGAGTGGGGAGGCATGGTGTAGGGGATGGTGAAGTTGTTAGGAAGGTGTGGTGTGGTGGGAGTGTGCAGGGTCGGGATTCTGGGATATGACACTCAGGCGGATCATCACCACCGTCATCACCACCACCACCATCACCGTCACCACCACCATTACCACGGTTGGGTGGGGCGTCTGGCAGGTCCAGAGGATTAGCGGGGTCAGGACATGGAGTAGGGTTACGAGAGGCTTCGGGGTCATAGTCATCAGCTTGGCTGTCTGGATCGACATCTCTCTCAACAGCAGCCGCCTTGTCATGGTCTTGGAATATGGAACGACAGAATCGACAGGAGGGTGCTGGAGTGGAGGAGGTAGGGTCATCATGGTCGGCCGTAAAGCTTTGGAATGGCGGACGTTCAGAAGAGTCTAGATCATGTCTGCACAAAAGTTCTTCAAGCGTCCCGAGACCTGGAAGCCTAGAAGAACCAGGTTCGGTGCGCATCTGTGAATGGGTCTGATAAGCTCTAGACATAGTTCAGTGAAACAATGATAGAGCAAGGAAAGAACGTAAGAGCGATTTGAGTTCGTATATACTGTCAGGAACGTGCCAGATGCGTATCTGGGTGACCCACAAGGCACGCGAAGTTGTCCGGACTCATAAGGTCGGAGGGGCGGGACTTTAGCTTCAGCGACTCGGGTGGAGTGCTGCACTTCGTTCTTACGTTGGTGTCCCAATTTCAGACAGGAGCCTTACGATGAGGATGAGAGTCTAGAGGGGGAATCCAAGTCGATATACGAACTAAGGTACATCCAGTGTAACCTACATGCGTTATAAACACAAGTAACTAAATAGGACCGCCCCGGAAGGAGTGGCGGATCAAGTGCGATATTAATGAATGAAGAAAGGAACAAATAGTTAATATCGGCAAACTTGGTCAACAAAAGGCAAGCAAGAAACAAAAGGAGGAACAATAGTCCACAAGCGGACAAAAGAGAAAAGGCCATTCGGCCGTCTAGCAAGCCGTCCAGCTGGGGGCAGACAACAATGAAGCAGGCAACCTAGGTTGGAAGGTATGCACACAAGGGAGGAAGTGCGGATGAGGGTGACTGTCAGGGCACACCCCACCTGACCCCACGCTGCACCGCCCTACTCTGCTCCCCCGCTATCACTCCCTGTTTCTTCTTTCCCCTTTCCTTCTTTCTTTCTATTTCCGTTCCATGGTCGACTTCCCCTTCTCTATGTATTACTACACACCTAACCCCACTCCCCCAATCGCCGCACCCACCACGCACATTCCCACTCACAGAGTGGCACACCTCCGGGATCTCCCACGGAGATACCCAGGGGAGTGCGGCTGTGTGCGGGGATGACGTGGCTCCTCCCACGTGACCCCAACTGCATGTATATAATAGCACCTGGGGTGGGAACAGAAGAAGCAGCCTTCTTCTCAACTTCCCACTTCAGGTAAGTACTGTAGCTTCCCCTTTTAATGATAATTCAACTTCCCACTTCAGACTAAGTGGTCGGGGATGCTCACCCCACAACGGGACCGCCGCTATGCATAGCCGACATCTGTCCCATCGAGTCCCTCGCACCAGGACCTTGCCGCTTTCAGAGCTGTCCCTGACAGTGACGGGTGGACGGATGGGTGGACAGATGATGATAGTGGGAGGGACGGGCCAAGTGGCACTAGGACGCGTAGACGGAAGTGATGGATATGTCAGGTCATGACAGCTTCAACCATCGCTGTTTAATTGTTATTTAATGGAGGTACGAGATTAAATTAGACTTGTGTGTGGTCGGTCTAAAAATGCGCTCTCTGTTTTTCTTCCACATCTGGCACAATCCCAGGTGATGCTTCATCTTATGCACCATACCTGCTGTCGGCCTTACGCATACTGTGCCTTCTGAGGTTGCAGTCATGCCGATTCAGGTTAATTGCCACTGCATTCCTGGATTGATTTCTTCAGACGAATTCTGTACATGTTGTTTGTCCACCTAAGCTACTGGGCTCTAGCCCACTTTACCTCGACCTCTGCTGAAGATGTTTTTATTTCTTACGTCTTATTCCCTTTGGCCTACAAGCTGTTTTTTGTGGAAGTTTTTTGTTTGGCTTCTTGTTTCCGGTAAGCTTTTCGGTCTCACTGAGGGGAAGGTGTTGTGACCTCTGGTTACTCGGTGGGTGGGATCCCGATTGCTTACTCAGTGTTTTTTCCTAGGTTTCATTACCTTCAGTTGTTTCCTTGCTCTTTGTAACCTCTGCTCTTCTCCCTCTTGTTCCTCGTTGTCCTTGTTTTTCATGTTACCCTCCTCCATCCCCAGTCTCCTGCCTGTTGTAAATTAGCCAGGTTGTCTTCAAATTCAAGAGGTTCTGGCATTAGCTGGGACTGTTGCCATGCTATCTCATTGCATCTCCTCCAGTGTGCACACAAGGGAAAAACTACCTTGCATGGAGATCAGATGCACAGTTTGAAGGATAAAGTCATGCAAAATCCCCACCAGAGAACCACTCTCATTCCCCCATCCATCACCCCTCCCTCTTCCTGCTCGGGTTGGAGGACTATGTAACTTGCATTCTGTGCACCCATTCCCCTCAGTCACATCCATTTGTTTCCATTGAATATGCACCACCATGATGTGGCAATGAGAGGGCCCACGATTTTGAGTCTCAATTTGAGCAAACATAGGGGTGAAATGGAAAGCATTGTGTGTGTGAGGAATGGTAACAATCGATAGTAGAAAGAAAGCTGGGGGATGGCAGAGGAAGCAAGATTACAGTACTGCTTGGGTACAAGTACAAATATTGGCCGGGGATTGGAGGACCCTGGGTTATGCAGAATTGGCAATATTGGAGGACCTTGCCAGAAAACGAATTCAGTCCCGGGCGAAAAACTTGCAGGACCCGCTACAGAGTAGCGGGAATAATACCTACTGTGATTAGATAGGAGGAGAAACTCGTATTCTATGGCACTGCCAGTGATGACAAAATATGCATCAAGTTCGTCCGTCGATACTCAAAGGAAGCACATCGCAAATGCTCATCATTGGGGTTTGCACCTGCCTTGAGGGGCTTTCAGCCCATTCCCGGTGGATGGTATATGGTTGTCATGGATTTCATCGATAATACTTATCATGAATACATGCAAAAGCCTTGTTTGAATCCGAAATCCGAAAGATGGTGACCAGTCTCCACCAAGCAGGATATGTGCATGGCGACATTCGAACTACCAACATCATGGTGAAGAGGGACTGTACACCCAGAATCATGCTAGTTGACTTTGACTGGGCAGGTGTACCTGGGGAAGTACGATATCCAATGAACGTGAACAATGCAGAAATCAAGCGGCCTTCCGGAGCGGATGATGGCGAGCTTATCCTGGCCGACCATGGTGTGAAAATGATTGATTACATGTATCTAATCACAATTCCCGGGTCCTGCAAAATTTTCGCCCGGGACTGAATTCCAAGGTCCTCCACTATTGCCAATTATCCATAACCTCACCGACCAATAAGTGTTCCCACTTAATTTCATTGTACATAACTTCCGATGCTGATTCCTCTGATGTACCATTTCTTCACTGTACATATCATTCAATGCACTTCCTTCATTCTATGCTGTGCAGGTCGTTGCGATGCGAAGCACGCAGTCAATGTCTGACCATGTGACCGTTTGTGACCATGGTCCACCAACACTGCATCAGGCGACCTCAACAATTCCCGTCCCGTCCCTCTCTCAAAAAGCGCTCAGCAACGCCGCCAGTATTGACAACGTAGCATCCAGAGGCCCAGTAATCGTTCCCGGAAGTTCCCCTGGACCATGCAAGTCCAACAACAACAACAACCCTCGTCCACTCAGCACGCTTTACCATCACTTCAAAGCATCACCCTTCCTACATCGTCATCCAAGTCTCCCTTCTTTGTCGTTCCAGCAGTACCCCATTTGCAGCAGCCTACTACCTCCAGACCCCAAGCCAAGCCATCTTTTACAATCCCTCACCCAAACCCAGTAAAGCCAGAACAGACCCCTCCATCCCCAAACATCTTCACCTACAAAGCCCCAGCGCACAAACATGCCCACCATCTTCATAGCATACCTCCAAAGGAGAAGACAGTCCAGACTTTGATGTATTTGTTTTGAGATCACACATCCCAAACGCCCGTTACTGACGCAACATTCCCAGTCTTGATCATATGTTATGGCTGCATTCACGCACTCGTTTCAACCAGGTTAGATGAAGCTGCCTGTTGGTAAAATCAACCGTAGCGCTCACATGAGAGGCGCTGGTATTCCAGGTCAGATCTGAGCTGGGAATGCAGACTGGGTCCCCAGAAGGTCCAACCGAAAAGGACGTCACTGAAACTGATGATGAACTTGCTCGCGAGCTACTTTTTGGGTTAACCGGGGACGACCGGTATAAAGGCCTCAGTGCTGATGCGAACCGGTATGTACCAAATGTGGACATTGAGACCGCAAAAGTTCAAAGGGCGAACGCAGAAGGAATGGAGAAGGTTGGCCATTCATTTTCCCCTGCATGTTTTTCCACCCCATGTTGATGTCTCCTATAGGTTCTTACTTCCTTACTCACCCAGCGGTCCGTTGGTTCTCGTCACACTCACGAAGTGAATCCTGGAGTTCCGGGGGTGTTACCAAATGGGGTTAGGATCAGAATTGTGCTTTCTGCTCTTGTCAACGACCTGTTCGCACGCGATCAGCACCTTTTTGGCCCCGATGAGCAACCAGAGAACGTGCTTTCAGGGTTGTCAAGTGATTTGTCGCCCATGTCCATTGCATCAATCGTAGCCAGCGGCACCGCTTCCTCCACTGAATTGCGCTGGGCCCAAATGGATTTTGAACCGTCGCCAGGCGTTCCCATTTCCCTCGCCCCCCTCACCCCGATCTCGTCCTTTCAGCAAACTAGGGTCAAGTCCAGCCTTGCCTCGGAATCGAAGTCAGGTGGACCTCCAGCGCGATCTATTTTTTCCTCGATTCCTCGTGGGGCCGGTATGGAGTCTCCATGGGCTCTTGGATCATTGAACAGTCTATCTGCAAGGGGACCCGAGTCGGCATCGGCATCCCACTTCGTTTCTAGCCTGCCCTTTGCTTCATCATCCTCAGGGTCGCATGCAAGCCGAGGCCCTCGAGTGCGCAAAGCTGTCGGGCGTTCTCGGGATTTGTACAATTCTGGAATTCGAAGGTGTTGGCCCATTTGTGCAAGTCACCTGACGGATTTTGATGAATGTCCACCTGAGTGCCTTCACGCAGAGGCCTATGCAGCGGACAAGAATGGTCTTCTTACACTATTAATTCAAAGAAGCCTGACCACGATCGGTTCAGGGTTGCCGGACCCCTGCATTCCATTGCGCTCTGCTATTCCTCAGTTTGTCCTCAACGACGTTAACGACAAGGGCGAACCAAAGGAACTCGCCATTAGCGGAACACGGATGGCTGCACTTTTGCCGCGATTCCTCAGGCTATCTGCCTTCGTCGCTCGAGAACTTGGTTGTGAGATGCGTGAGCAGCGGCAGCAATTCGCTGATGTGAAGGCCGGGACTATCATACCTGCGGAGCCCTCTTCCTCCAACCCCACTTCTATTGCTGGCATTCCTTCCACCACTGGCGACGGGCGTCCCACCCGCATCTGGTATGCCTTACTGAGTGGTATGGTCACTAGGGCCGCTTTAGAGGGATACCTGGGACGTGGTTGGTTGGGGCCCGATGCTCTTGAAATCCTTTTTGGTATTGGGGTAGGTGTGGACTGGGAAGAGGTTGTTGAGAAACCTGACGAAAAGGATGTTTCCGCAATGCGTGCCCGCTCGGGATCGGCCTCATCTGACGTGAAATCCGTGGAGGATGATGGAGTCAGCCAGAAGCGAGGATCGATTGACACGTCACTTTCGGAAGCTTATGCTGCCCAGTTTGAGCCCGATGGCATGCCTACGTTAGCCGAGGCCGCGAAAATTCTCTTCAAACGTAGTATTCCTACTGGCATCGCGGGTACTCAGTCAGAGTTGAGTGTTATCAACTCCTATGCGAATGGATTCCAGACCACATGTTTGGGAAACACACGCCCCATTGACACTGATCCTGAATGGGCGGTTGAGATGACTGAACGTGTCTCCGAGGTTAGTTTCCTCAAGGCGAACTTGATTCTTTTGCTAACTATCCATATCCTCAGTTTGCCAGTGTGCACCATACGACCGACCTTCACACGCATTTGCTTGACCTTTCGAAGCGATATCCGGCTGAGCCTGTTGAACGTGCAGCTCTTCGATTCTTGGAAGCCATTGCTCAGTGGCGTGGTCTACCAGAATTGGAACAGGTGGGTCCAATCATCTGGTCGTGCCCATAATTTGATTGCTAACTGATCCTCCGACCCCACAAGTACAAGGAACGTGTTCGAAAAGCCAATACCGTTGCGACGCAGCCCTCGGCTTCTCTGGAGCGCCGCCGTGGTTCTCTGTCCATTTCTTCTCTCGTGCACCCCACAGAGACATCTGACCCGACCTTTGAGCCCAGCTCTTCCGCTATCTCATCCCAGTCAAATACTCCCGTTACTTCTCCTGTCCTTAAATATTTTGTCGTCCCGAAGCATGTCATCGCTTCTCTCCCTCCTTATCCCTCAAAAAAACGCGTGCGCGATGAAGGCCCTGAGGCTGAAGCAAAGCGATTAAAAACCCCTCGTGTAGGTGCATCATCATCTGCAACCGCTGCAGCTAATACATCTCTACCTGGAATCCTATCTGCACCTGCAAACCCTCTGGCTGAATCTTCCTGGACTGGGCCTACGGTGTTTAATAGGAAACATAATTTCCTGTCTCCTCCCGATGTACATGTATATAACCTCAGTTGAAAATGGACAAAAAGCCTCGACTCATCGCTTTGTTATTTTTCATGGTTTAATATTCTTATTTCACACGACTAATCTCGACGGTAATTGGCGCTGAATGGTGCCGCATGGTCCTGCGTTGTTGCAGCGTGGGGGTGTTCACTATCCTGGGTTTTTCGCGTTCCTCACGTGTTTTTTGACGTGCATGTGACACTGGCAGAAGGTTTACTTCCGCCTGCTCCCTCAGCGCTGCCTTCGCGTCTGCTCCATCGGGACTGGTAAGTCCTCAGTTGGTTGCAACAGGGGCTGGAAGCTTATATGTGCGCCACAGACAAGTCGTCTGCATCTAAGCTCCAATCTCAAGTTCATATTGCGCTGTGCTTTCAAGTAGGTCTACTTTACCTTGCGCAAACTCCGTGCAGGTCTCACTGTAGCGCCTGTGCTACTTATTTCAGCTTCCTTGAGTTGTTTTGCCTTCTGTCGCGTCTACCCACCACCTCCCCTTTCACCAACCTGATATCTGCTGTATCTCGCTGAACTCGCACAATGCCCGGACCGCTTGGGTTCCGGCCGTTTCCACTAAAAGCGCTTACACCGTCTGATTAGGTAAACGATATATACAGGATCTTTCCGAAGCCACCTGTCACGTGCTCGTAGTTCGCGCTCCCTCACCACCACGATGGACCAGCATGCTTTGGCTCTTCTAAAGGCCGCGGAGTCATGGGACTGGCCTCTTGCCTATCGCATCAAATCCTCAGGAGGCCAAGATAGCAAGTTCAAGGCTATCATGCCAAAACTCTTGTCTGGTTTCATCACCGAGTCACAATCGTTAGGCGGAACCTTAGTTGATCAATTCTGGGTTGTGGTAGGGCAATGCCATCCCCAGCTCGAGGAAAATAGTGCGTCGAGACCCCCTTCTGCATGCACATTCTGTACTAATATCCTTTCTCAGTTAAGATCCTTCGGCGGATAGGATTTTACTCCCCGCGTCATTCTGAGATAGTGTTATTCGATGGGGTCGAGCGAGAAACGATTAATTTCTCTCCAATATTTGAGATGGGCGCAGAACTTTTTACCCATCTTTGCGTTGCTTGTAGGTCCTGATGCCAATCTCCCCGGAAATTGATGAAGGACTCGGTATCAGTTATGAATCCCGGTGGTCCTAAATCTCGGAGCGGCACACCCTTCTCAGTTAGCGACTTCATTGCAAAAGACACGGACGAACTACTGGATATTGCTGCCTCAGAAGGGCTCGGGACTAGGAAGCAAGCTGCTCTGAAAGCTCTGGTATGTCGTGACGGTGAATGACACATCTACTATTATGCTCAACATTTTGATTCAGATATTCAAACGTGACGGCCAATCATGTCCATTAACTGGCTTGTCTTTCGACACTGAGGATAGTGTTAAGCCACATTTGGCCCATATCATTCCTAACTCGGTCCATAACAAGGTTAGCGCTACAATTTTAAGGTGGTATTCATTAATCCTCGTTCTACTGCACAGCCTGATACTATCAAGTGTATTGCTATGCTCGCTGGGACAGCTGTCCGTGACCTTGTTTTGGAACAGTTGAATGATCTAGGCAACCTTCTCCATATCGAATTAAATGCACATGTTGCGTATGATGACATTCACTGGGGGATTGAAGCTCTTAATGAGAACGGAGTGGTGCGATTTTCAAGCTCGACCTACTTTGCCATCACTCATCGGTCCCCCAAGGTTAAATACATCTATAGGAGGGTTCCCTACAAGACTGCGAAGGGCCCCGGAATTATTCGCCTCCACGATGGGGATCAGATTGTCTTCGGAGGAGGCCCCGAGGCAGCACGACTTGGACCAGGCCCCAATCCGTCGCTCTGTAACCTCCAGCTTGCTGTGGCTCGCGTCCTGAGGATGAGTGGCGCCGCGGACATTATTGCACAGATCAAAGATGATGGAGATGACTCAGATTTTCCTCATGTTTACATTGCGTCGCCGGCGTTTTGTAACATTCTTACTGCTCAACTCCAACTTGCAGGGGGTGTTTTTCTGTAAGCAATTGGTGAAATTGTGGACGCTACATGACACATCGATCCAAATTACCAGCAAAACGGTCCTTTACCTCACCCACGAATCAAGATAGCGTTGGGGCTGAGGATATCATAAGGGTTGTCATTTACAAACGAAAAGTTCAGTTGACGTACTGCAACCGCCACCATGAGGGTTAACCTTGTCAGGAGTACTGACGCTGTAGAGCGCTTAAGACCTCGTTGATTTCGTAGAAGACTTGTGAAATCAGTTTCTCGAGAACCTGAATGTAGTGGCAGAGCACGAATCTTGGGAATAGTTACAGCTATTGGAATATCAATGTCCATGCGCGGTAATATTCTTTTTACTGATGCAATATCAGGTAAAGGTATCGTATATACCTTTTTGTCTTGATGCTCTCTTTATCCGGTGATAGCAGGCAGTTGCTACATTACTCTCTGAAGAAATTTTTGATGTACAACGGATTGAGAGATGTCGGACAGAAACCGAGAGAGTTGATAGTGATCATTCCCATTGGTGAGTGTGAGTGGCTGACAGTGTATGTTAGGTTCGGAAGCAGCAGGGGCAGGGTGACCAAAATCACAGGGAGTGACCAACGCGATGTGAGCAAACAACTTGGAACGCATTTGCTCGCGATTGAGAGGCAGGGGCTGGAGATAAGGAATGTGGTGAAAGAAACACAGAGCACAAAGATCTGAATAAGTCAACGTTTCCAATGATTCACAGATGTTCTTACGATGAGGATAATAGGAGCCAATGTGTCAAAAATGGGAGAGTATGCCAAGCACACTCTCATTGTTTAAGTGTTTGGAGTCAGCCGAGTTGCAAAGACGTAAAGCCAGGCAAATCAATTTCCGCTGTTGAACTGGACATGATGGAGACAAGACCACATTGAATACATCAGGAAACTCGGAGGGACCTCCTGGAGCCGAGATATCCCACGGAGCTTGGGGAGCCCAAAAGGTCCTTACCCCCTCTCAAAGAACCAGGAGGCACGCTCTCTTGGGCCTCTTGAGCTCTGCGGCTCCTCTCCTTCTAACGGTGCAGCGCTGGCTCTCAGACTCCAGGATTCTCAGTGTTCTTGACAAGGGGTGATCAACATGGAAATTCTATACCCGATGTACCATTTCAGGTTTTAGCGGGTTTGAGCGGAGACATACATACTAAGTAATTCAATCGGCAATTGCCGTACCCCGGCCATTGCCGCATTCCATATTGGGCATCCACCTAGAAGTCGAATTCACTGCCAACTAGAAAGATGGAGGTATGTGGATCAATTAAACATTGTTCCCAATGATGGCATGTTGTTTTAGGCTCATGAGGGGAGTGCAGAGAATCATTCTCAAGTGTGTCCGGAGTGTGGTATGGACGTACTTCTGGGGACCGGTGGTCAAAAAAATCTGCTGCATCATATTGGCAAGGCAAGATGCCGTGAATCCCAAGAAAAGCGGGAGAATAAAGTAAAAGCCCAACCACAAGCTGAGTTAATGGCTTCATTTTTCAAAAAAAAGGAGTCCGTACACCGCCCAACTGTGGTCCCCCCCGCTTTACTCCAAAGTCTAGCCCCTGAGCCCATCCATTCACCCTTGCCATCAAAACCAAATCTTCCACACACTGAAGAAGCTCCGAAAATGCCTAGTCAACCAGACAAAGGACTGCAATCAGCCAGTTGCTTATCAAAACTGAGACATATTGCGATGAACCTCCCCGATACTGTCCCACTTGCTGCTCCCTCAGCTCTCACTGGTGACCCTAAAGAAATAGTGGCCACTTGAAAGCTGGAAGAGCCAGATGAGGATGTATATGATGTGATGACTGCGCAGCGCGATACCTCAATTAGTTAGGTATGAGTAGTGATGGACGGACTTGCCTGCGCAGCGCGATACCTCAATTAGTGAGGTATCAGCTGCTAGTGCAAGTCCGGTCCTTATATACATCTTGTAATGACTTTACGCCACTGAGGTGAAACATAAATGGTAAACAACAAGTTGAAAACAAAAGCGCAAAGCGCAAAAACAAAGAGTCCAAGAGGTTGCCGCCGTTTGTGCCTCAAAGCGCCCCTCCCCTTCCCAAAGCGTGAATGTCCGGCCCGGGTGACTCCCTTGACCACCAGTGGCGTTGGGCTGCAACTTCTAACACTCCCCCACAGTCCAACGTCCACGCATCTATCTAGGCCACGAACTCCATCCCAAGCATCAGGCAGAAGCGATCGTGCTTTGCCTTGACTAAGGACTTCGTAAGTATGTCGGCCGCCATATCATTCGTTCCAATAAGCTTCAAATCAACCGTTCCATCTGCAACACATTCCCGTATGAAATGATACCTGACGTCGATACTTTTGGTTGCGGCGTGATTGACGGGGTTTCGAGCGAGTAGGTTTGCAGCTCGGTTATCGATGTGTAACGTGGTTGAGCCGGGCATTCCTTCATGTAATTCCTCCAGGAGGCGTCGAAGCCAGACTACTTCTTTGGCTGCTTCGGCTGCTGCAACATACTCCGCGTGTGTTGAGGATGATGCTACGCCAGCTTGCTGCTTTGACATCCACGAAACCACTCCCCCAGATAAAAGAAAGGCATATCCGGATACTGACTTTCTGTTTACCACGTCGTTCGCCCAATCTGCATCGGTGTAGCCTACGAGGTCCCCGCTCCCGGCTGTATATACTATCCCTCGGTTCATAGTCCCTGCAAGATATTTCATTATGTGCCTAAGTCCCTCGATGTGTTCTTGTCCGAAGGTCGATGCGAATGGCGCCAGCGCTCTCACGGATGCGCAGATGTCTGGACGGGTTCCTAGAGCAGCATACATGAGAGATCCGATGACTTCGAGGAAGGGGTACGAGGAAACTCTCAAATGGTCTTCCGTTGGTACCGGTTTGTAGTGTATCCCAGCGGGTAATGGCGTGGTGCATGGCGCGCAGTCTGTCATATCGAAACGAGCGAGAATATCCTTGATATACTGCGACTGGTCAATCGATAGTGTGCCAGCCGATATGTCTTGGCGAACTCGGATCCCCAGGATCCATGATGCTTCCCCTTTGCTTGAGACTTTGAAACGGTCCCCGATGGTGTCTTGGATAGATGTAAGCAGTTTCTCGTCGTTTCCAGCAAGGAGTTTGTCGTCAACGTAGACAGGAATGATTACAATGGATCGTCCTCGTTTGAATACGAAGACCGAGTGGTCAGCATGTGTTCGACGAAATCCAAGGTGAATCAAGAAGTCATGTAAGGTTGCGTACCACTCCCGTCCAGCTTGCTTCAATCCATAGAGCCCCTTCTTAAGTTTTGCAACCATTTGTTCCCTCCCCTTTTCCTCATATCCCTTCGGTTGACGCATGTATATATCTTCCGAGAGCACCCCGTTGAGATATGCCGATTTGATATCCATCTGGCGGACTCTCCAACCGTGACGGGCACATATGGCAAGAAAAACGCGTAGGGAGGCTGATTTCACAACGGGGGCGAACGTCTCTGAGTAATCGATCCCCTCCCGTTGACCAAAGCCTTGAGCCACCAGACGAGCCTTAAAACGGGTTACCTTTCCATCAGCGCCACGCTTCTTGGCGAGCACAAATCGACAGCCGATGACGTTACGGATACTTGGAGATGGGTCAACCAGATCCCAGGTGCCGGCGTCCCGGATGGCAGAAAGCTCTTCTAGCACGGCGGCATGCCATTGGTCCCGCTCGGGGCCAGCCAACGCATCCCGCAAGGTCGGAGTGTCTGGCAGATCAGCGTCTTTATCTAATATGGGGTTCACCAGATGGGCCTCATCCAACACAATATCCAGGACATCTTCCATGGTGACAGTCGCCGCAATCGGTACCTCATTCAGGAAGTCTTCATACACATTGGCAATCAGGTCCTTGCGCCGGCCATGTGCACCGTAGTCTGATGGGTCGAAGCGATGAGGTGGACGTCGTTCCCTCTGTGGTCGAGCAGTGGGCTGGGTGGCAGCGGGAGGTACAGTAGGGGGTACAGGCGGAGATGTGGGTCTGGAAGATGCCGCCTCAGTCAGGTGATCCGGGTCATCTGACTCATCACCAGAATCATCATGTGCCCTTGACTCAAAGACGGCACGTGGCTGGATCTTCGCCTCCTCCCGGAAGATAGGTGAGCGGACGATCTCGACCTTGTGGGTCAGCTCATCGTACGCCTTATACCCAGAAGAATTCTCTGGATACCCTAGAAACTTAGCCGGTCGCCCCCTCTCCCCCAACTTCTGCGCTCCCAAATCTTTTGGCTGATGAATGAACATGTTAGCGTACCAAACCCTCATGTGCGCGACACTTGGCTTCCTTCCGTGGAATCGTTCAAAGGGCGTCGTTGTGTTCGAGTGGGTATCGATGGTCCGGTTCATAGCGTAGACAGCTGTGGCGAAAGCGTCAGCCCATAAGAAGTTTGGAGCCTCGGCGTCCTTCAGCAAGGTGCGTCCTTTATCCAAGATCTTCCGATTAGTCCGTTCGGCCACTCCATTTTGTTCAGGGGTGTGCGGAACTGTCTGCTCCATGGCAATTCCCTTGTCTTTACAATACGTCCGAAGGGTTGAGTTCAAGTACTCTCCTCCTCCATCCGTCCTCAAAACCTTGACATGGGACCCGTACTGATTCGCAAAGTGTGTGTCCATCCTGATGAACCACCCTGTGAAATCTGACTTAAGTGAGCACGGATAGAACCAGGTGAAACCTGTCTTGTCGTCCACGAGTGTGCAGAAATATCGCCTCTTTCCAAGTGACATCACCTCCATCGGTCCGCAGATATCGGAGTGTATTCGCCCTAGTCTCTCACCAGCAACCTCATGTCCCCTTCCAAAAGATCCCCTCGTCATCTTTCCCCTGATACACGCTTCACAATCGAAACCTCTCGAGTCATCCCGAACATCTTCCATTCCCAGAACCGACCCGCTCTTTATCATTTCCTTTAATGCATCCTTCCCAGGATGGGCCAGGCGTTTGTGGAGAAGGTCGAAGGAGGGGGTGGAGGCTTCCACAGCCGGGTTCGCCCTTTCGGATGCGGTGGGTGTCAGCTGCGAGGTCGGGTGATTCAGGTAGAACATCGGTGCGAGTTCTTTTAGTGTTTCGGCGATCAGCTTCCCACCTTTTTCAATCCTGCAGACATTGTCAAGGCCGAAGGTAATCCGGGCGCCCCGACGGATGAGGACTCTACAGGAAAGGAGACCGTACTTGAGACTAGGTACATACTGTACGTCTGGAATTCGACAGGTGAAGCGCCTCCCTCCGGCAGTGCAGGCGATCAAGACGGTCCCCTCCCCGAGCGAGGGAACGCGGCTATCGTTTCCCAAGGCAATCTGGCGTGGAGGATCAAAAGGTGTGTATTCCACGAAGTCGTTTTGGTTGGGCAAAAATGGTTACTGCATCCTGAGTCCACGATCCAGGGTTTCGGCGCGTCTGTGTTCCTGTCGGTGACCAGTGCAGTGTCCATGATATGTTCAGCACATAGAGCCTTTTCCTCAGAGTCCTCAGTAGCGTTTGCACTTTCCTTTTCGGCGGCTCTCTTTTTCTGGTAGGTTTCCTTTTCGGCTTCTGTTGCCGTGCATTTTGTGCGAAGATGGCCGGTCTTTCCACAACTCCAACATGTTTTGCGCGTTAGCCAGGATGGATCACCCTTCCTTCCCTTTGTATCGCTCTCTGCAGCAAGGGCCTTTGGCGTGAGTGCAAGTTCAGTTTTCGTTCCAAGGTTCTCCCCCTTTGCCCGGGCCCGGAGTTCCTCGGTCTCTACCTCCCCCTTCAGTTTGTCGAGGTCCCAGCTCATGTCGTCAGTTGCTGCTGGGGCGTTCTGGATGAGCAAGGTCTGCAGGGTACTCATGCAAGATGGGAGGGTATGGATGAGTTGCATGGCAATCATTCGATCTTCGATCCGTCCTCGATCGCCAGGGACAAGTTTGTTTACCTCGTGAGCGAGGTTCATAAGGCCAGATAAGAAGTCCGAGATCGATTCGTAGTTGCTGACTTTTGCCTCACAGTACCTAGTTCTCGCATAATATTCAGCGGAGGCACCAGTCTGCTGGTAGGCACCTTTCAAGGCTCTGAATAGTGTTGCGGCAGGACTTTCGGAGTGGCGAAAAACGTTGTCTTGGACTGAATCGCTGAGAGATAGCCATAATCTTCGGCGAGTATTCCTTTCTCCTTCAACCCATTCCGCGTGTTCGGGTATTGTCTTATCAGATGGTTCAATCAGGCTTCCATCTAGGTAGCCCCAGGTGTGTCCCATAGCAAATCGGAGGTTGATAGACCACCTATTCCAATCGTCGCGTCCCTTCAGCTTAGCGATAGCAAGGACAGCCTTATCGATGGTCGAGTCTTTCAGAGTCATGGTACGTTCTTCGGGTCTGATCCAGAACGAGCAGGTAACGGCGATTCAGAACGAGACAGCTCCTTTCTGAGCAATAGTTCAACGGTGCCGGGCGACTTTTTAAAGCGGTGGAGTAAAACTGGGCTGATAACCTGTGATGACTGCGCAGCGCGATACCTCAATTAGTTAGGTATGAGTAGTGATGGACGGACTTGCCTGCGCAGCGCGATACCTCAATTAGTGAGGTATCAGCTGCTAGCGCAAGTCCGGTCCTTATATACATCTTGTAATGACTTTACGCCACTGAGGTGAAACATAAATGGTAAACAACAAGTTGAAAACAAAAGCGCAAAGCGCAAAAACAAAGAGTCCAAGAGGTTGCCGCCGTTTGTGCCTCAAAGCGCCCCTCCCCTTCCCAAAGCGTGAATGTCCGGCCCGGGTGACTCCCTTGACCACCAGTGGCGTTGGGCTGCAACTTCTAACATATGAGTGGCTGGATAAAAAACTCAACAATATTTGTGGTGAATATGCGAAACGGAATGGCACCCTAGCATCAGCCATTAGACGGGGCCCAATGGGGTTGCCAGGGCTTTGTGCTACACTCCAATACTTCACCAACAACAAATTTGCTTCTGAAGAAATTCTGGAGATCCGAATCAATAACCTGATTGAGGAAGCAAAAAAAATGTATGTCACCATCACCGTTAAATTCAAATCCCCCCAAAGTGCTGCTTAACATAATTCCAATAGAATCCCTCTAGAGTCCCATCCTGCATCAACAAGGCCCTCCCCAAGGAGACAGGATAATACTGTACTCACTCAGCGCATGTTGCCTTCACCGCAACCTGGTACCAAACACCTCCCATTTCTCCTGGACTCTGATGAGGACAGCGACTCACCTCCCCAAATAATTGACAACAAGCATCCATGCCAAGGAATCAGAATTGACGTTCCTGAAGGGAGAAGCCCATTTCTTGAGTGGCCATGGAAAGAACAAGCGGAGTTAGCAATGGCTTGGGACATCCACACTAAAAATGGTATTCTTACCTTGCATGCTCCCACTTGTCTACAGTTGACACTGCGGGTTAATGAGCCATGCCGAGAATGCCAACTCCTCCAAAACAATCAAAGACTTTGCTGTATTCAGGACCGGATCCACAGAGGCATCCCCGAGACCACCCCATATAAGTACCTTGGGATGTCTGGATTAATCGAAATTCTCAGGCGGAAAGACCGTCAAATTGACAGTCTCAAACTTCAACGTCTTAACACCAATCGGAAACTGGATTTGCTCATGACTTCAAACCTGGACTACAAAAGATTCGTCATGGCTGTGGGCAAGTGCAATGTACCCCGCTTGAATCAACTTGTGCGGTCCGCGCTACGAAAGAAGCATGGGATTAATGGAATCATTCAACTTATTGGGAGAGCCGCACTTGGAACTTACAGCCCGAGGCACACAGAACAAGAACACCTTATGAGTGTTGTGCTCTACTGGTTAGGGGGCGCACGCGTTGCAGAGTTTGCACATGCAGCACTCAGCATGCCAGGGATAGCAACAACCTGACGACACTGCACAACCTCAATCCGCGCTTCTCCTGCCTTCCCAACCCTTGATGAAATGAGATCAAACATCGCAACAGCGTTTCAAATTGATGCCCCTTCCAATAATCAAGTTGTCGGCCTTGTTTGTATGATAGATGAGATTAAGGTGGAAGAGGTGTTGGACTGGTGCCTGCACACCAACAGTGTGATTGGCCTTTGTCGAGAGCATTCAGGGTGTAATGCACATGCAATCAATAACATCGATGATTGTCAGGGCCCGGCCTTGGACTCGGAGGCTCCCTGACCTCAACCCCCATCTGGCCTGTCCTCACACTATGTGGGGTATGAGATGTATAGTAAGAGGAAAGATAATATATACACTTGCCTATGTGGGGCATGAGATGAGAAGAAGGGTAAAGGTCTCATCTCCCCGCATGGTTGCTATATAAAGGAATGGGTCACATGCCCACAACTATACAGCTCCTAGAGTTGTGTAGTGTGACCCGGAGGGAACATCCAGGTGGCAGTGCCCAGTAAGCGTGGGAACGTTCTGGGCGAGTTGCTTGCCCAGAACTGTGGCTGTGACCCATGGGAACATTCTGGGCGAGCTGCTCGCTCAGAAAGTTCCCACGCTATCCCGTGCGCGCATGTGTACACAACACAGAAAGGCAACAACAAGGCAACAATGAAGGAATGGAAGGAAGGGATTGGTTGGGGAGTCTGGGGCACCCTAGGGCAGGGTGCTGAACCCTGACAATGATGCGCATACACTGTTTGATGACTTGGCAAACAGAAAAGTGCATTTCGGCATGGAGGTACGTCTAGGACAAAGGGGTGTGAACCATAGCACCAGCTAAATCATAGACGATAGGCTACAGTTGCCGCAATTGGAGCTCTCACCGGGAATCATCGCCAATACATCGCACGGCCATTTCTAATCAGTGCAACATGCAAAAATGAGAAAGCCGACAAACATGCTGATCTCCTCCACCTAGCATGCAGTGCCTGCAACCAAATGCATAAGGAGACCAAGGGGAGTGTATATTGCCTTGCCTCAGATGGCGAATCAAGGCGAGGAAAGGCACTTGTAGCCTTAACGGAGCACACACCACTATCTCCAACATCCCGCTTATATGCTTACCTGGGTGGACTACCGCTGCTAAACCTACTGGTTGGAGAGGACGAGTTAACATCTGACAAAGACTACAAGCATGTTATGAAAAGACTTCGACACACTCACCTGAGGCCCAGCGGTGTTTCAGTCGGTGGTGTTCAGATTACACCCTCAGTCCTGCGGTCCCACCTAGAAGGCAACAAATACCCCTCAAGCCAAATCAACAACCTGATGAATGCCACAGATAAACAAGATGTCACTACAATGTTTAACCTAATGCTACTTATCTGGAAGTTACCACCACCACTCACCACGGACAATCCCATATACTATGAAACTCGTGTCGCCCTCAATCAACACTCAAAGCTTGTCAAATATCTAATCTTACCCTACATAAATGTTGACATGAGCCTTCATGATCAACTTAAGTCTCTTAGTGCCGCGGCACACCTGGCATACATATTCTTTACTGATCATAATGCACACTCGGCTTACCTCCCATCACCCCTTTACCGTGATATCCAAATCATGGTCAAGAACGCGTTCTTTTGCGTGGCAAAGATGAAGCGTGACAATCCCAATGGCGAGTTCTTCTTGATCCTGCTGGGCATGGATAGGCTGGAATGGATTTTTGGCCTTATCAGATCTCAAAATGGGAGCGATGTTAACGTTAGCACTTACACTTTATTGGGCCGAACTTCAGGGGCCGTCGAATGCCACTCAATCCTCTCCCAACACCCAGAATGGGACCGGGGCCCTCGTCGGCTAAGGCTCCAGGGTTTAAGCACCACAACAGGGATAGAGCAAAAAATCGATCACCTCAATCCGGCATTGTGGAAGGGAGACGTGCGAGTCTCTGGCGTACAACTGATGTCTGCATGGAGTTCCGGCCGGCATGAGGTGGAAAATGATCCAGAACTCATGGCATTCAGTCCTGCAGAAAAGTTCGGCAAGCTTGAGTCGACCCCGGGTGCCGATCTGCTAAACCCCTTTGGGATGGAAGTATGTGAAGATGGTGAAAATGAAGAAACGTACGATGAAACTCCCCAGCAACCCAACCCAGATTCCACCATTCCCATTGTACCCGACTCGCTGGAACTTGAGGAACTCGTTGACAACGAGGATGCGCGGAAAAATGGGCTCGAAAGTACAATTGATGTGGGGAATGGGAAGCATGTACACAAGGCAAAGGTTCTGCATGAATTCACAAGGTTCACAAGAACATCAAACTCGACTGACCGATTGAGACGTGTCGCCAATATTTCCCGCTTTGCCCAAATCCCCGCCACGCCACATCATCACATTGGTGATGGTTCTATAACGGAGACCGAATGCATCTTGATCCAAGATCCAGTAGCCATGCTTCTGAGATGCGAGGGAATCCCATTTCTGGGTGTTGCCCAAGTTAGTTCCATCAAAGTTGATAAGAGTTCCCAAAGTGCAGTATCAAAAGACTTACTCAACGAAGAAACAGTCACCATCGGTCTTCAAATCCTCTGCTTGAAGTCGCAAAACATAATTCTGTCAAATGGGAAGGATGGTGATTGGGTCTGGCAGCATGGACGAGATGCAAGCATCGTGGTTCCCGGAAAGTTCATCCAGCAAATCAATCCTGATGTTGTTACTGTCGAAGAAGAGAGCGCCGTGATCGGAGCAGGAATCAGAAGAGAAGGTGGCTTGAGGAAGGCTGTAGGATATGGGTTTCGAAGTGATGAGCTGCGAGAGTTAGCAGCAGTGATGTTTGGGGCACTCTCGCTGGATGATCGACGTAAGATAGTTGAGATCAAACAGTCGGATAAGTTCCCTTACCAGGTTAACGGTGAGCTAGTTGGCTGCAGGTTACAACTGTCACACGAAACCCATTGGGCAATTCTCTCATCAGGCAGAGTGTGTTTTGCATGTGAACTTGAGGGGGATGACAGAGATGTGGTAACAACGAATATTTCTTGTGAACGTTGTCATGCGATCTTTGAAACAGCCCCAAAATTACTTGCACACATCGCAGCTCACATATTACATGACCCAACTATTAGCCGAGAGGACGAGCCATGCGGGCTCTGTCTATCACCAGCACCTTCATGTCGGATTGGCCTGAAGAAATATAAAGCGTCTTTTACGCTTGATTATACTAATTCAATGTGTCAGAGGCTGGTTAAGTTTTCTTACGCCACTGCTTCCCAACCTTCACCTACAAACCTGTGTGCTAATGTTCCCATAAAGTGTCCACAGTGCCCCAAAGGATCCAACACGGTATGGAAGTACAACATTGCTTTTCATTATGCGAAAAACCACTCCCCTTCTGTTCCACCTAGCGAATTTGACATCTCAGATTTCGAGCTGGAAGGTCTCAAGATGGTCTGGAACAATCGCCATACTGCGAATTGAGGGGAAACTAGACGATGGAAACACTTAGCGGCGAAACTCAACATTTCTGAAGCACATAGTTCCCATCTCTGCCTTCGGTATGTCCCAATCCTTCTTTATTTATTTATCACTTCAGATGTAATATTAATTATTAATCTACATCCAGGGACACAGACCTGGAAACACCACCCGAAGTCAATGCGGACTCATCCACTGGACCACTGGAACAAGATATCGACGATGACCTCGATACCAGCACCCCCGAACATATTCCCACCTCTCCTAGCCCCCATCCACCCTCCCCAGCCTCAGCTTTGCCAACCACCTATTCCAGTGGCCGTCCAATGTGCCACGCTCCCAAACGTCCTACTGGCATTCATATGTGTTGTACCATGAAAGTTACCGCAAGTGAAATTAACGACAGTACTAATGTTGTTAGGTGTAATGGGATGGGCTGTGAGACGGTTTGGGTATATGCCTTTTACCATACCTTAATACTGTTGTTGTTTTCTGACAGACAAATTAGTTCCATAGGTCATGTCAGGGTCTAGGGTCCTACATCCCCCCGAACTGGACATGCGGTGCCCATCAAGAATCCCGCAACAGCAAACGAGCAAGGAAACAAGGCTAACTATTGGCATAGTGGAGGTTTTCAATTTATTTTCAATGATAATATACATTTGAATCGAAAATTTTGACATGCGCAAAATAGGTTTAGTCCCTCCGACCAGAGACTATCATACTAACATGGGGTTCGGCATTTCCCGAATGACCCCCCCTTGGTTCTTGACTCTCGCGAACTCATGTAATTAAAGGAAGAAAATTCGATTTTTATATAACTGGCAGCTACTCAGACTCGCTCCATGGACTAGTGTTGCCATGTGGTTGTTCTTCCATGTCTATAATAGATCCATCCCTCTCCTCATACATATGATCCCTTTTGAGTTCTTGCCTATAGAGGTTGATGGAATATGAGTCGGTAGTTAGGTTAGTGAGTGTTGGCAACATACGCTACAGACCAAAACATGGCACAGCAAATACGCTTCCATCGTCTTGTCTTTTTTGATGAAAACTCGGCAATGTCGAACAGATGATGTTCATGTATTTCTGCAAAGCGTTCGGCAGAAAATTCAACCTTGGGATTAATAACACTCTCAAGCGCACAGTGAATCTAAACAAAGTGCATATTAGCAAACTGGTGTTATGAGTAAATGGATGAAGTACCGCTGATAGGGCAAGGGCAATAAGCTCGTGATGTTCATCGAGGTTCTTGAAATCATCAAGACAAGTCTCCCCCAACCGATGAGAAATAAACTGCTGTTTGAAGGTGAAGAACACCTTCAGCACAGTCAAAATGATCGGGTTTTTGAATGGACCATCTTTCTGTATGTAAAAAGTCAGTTAGCCATATTGACATTGGTGCAAAATCATACTAAGCAGTGATTTCGCCAGATGTACCTGGACTTCTCCATTAGGTCTGTGACACTTTCGATGCGCTCTGAGTCATCCATCGCTGAAAAGTTATAGTATTCATTAACAGCTTGAACAGCAGCATTCCGGAATCTATTTCGGAAGTTGGACACAATTTTCATAAGCTGTATGAGGGGTTGAGACAGAGGATATTTACGACTTTATATACAACTAATTCAACATACTGTAGTAATCATCAGGGGCTCAACCATGAACCGGTCACTTCGCAGGTTCAGATTTTGGGCAGATCTTGCAAGAGCTTCTTGTGCAAAGTGTTGGTGAATTGATGCATCTTCACTACATGCTTGTCAGGGGACGACTCCCGGGTCCCCATGACCCTCCCCTATGGTCCACAGCCCTGAGGTGTAACCAGCCCTATCCAGGGCACAACCTACTGTGGGTAAGAAGATGTATAAGATAAAGAAGTAGTAGGTACACTTGCCTACTGTGGGTAAGAAGATGAGAAGGAAGCTAACTTCTCATCTTCCCACAGTGGGCACCATATCAGGAAAACTCCCGGGGATACCCGGAAGTCACATGAAGGAGTAGGAACCGGGTCCGGAGCATGCGGCGTGCGGAGCGTGCACGCATGCGGGAAGCGCGGCGGGTGGAAGCGGGTCCGGACGCGGGTCCGGGTCCGGGCTAGTCAGGGTGTGTGCCCTGACAGTGCTCCATTCAGGCTATTCTCCCCAAGAGACCAGGGATTTGACGCAACAAGCTGAAGGAAAACTGGGCGTGAATAATTGAGGACGGAAAAAACTTGAGGGTTATCATGCTGGCGCCAGAATTCAAGTGTGGCATCTCTTGCACTTGGCTCGCCATTGGCCTTCTGCTTTGCCTTCTTGGAGCTTGCCTTGGGTGCAAGATTAACAGCACCATGAAGCGTGACAGATGCTGTGCTGGAGGCCACAGGAGATGAGCTATGCGTCCTTGATGACGGATTTGGTGTTTGAGTTTGGGGAGGCATGGGGCTTGATGAGAAATCGTACTATTAGTGAGATGATAATAAGTATCAAGAAGCAAGTGAACCCGCAAGAGTGGCTAGCCTGTTTTGAAGCGTCATCATCTAAGCCAGGTGACTGTCGCGATATTGGATGGGGAGAGGATAAGGGCTGAGAGGAACGTGTTCCCTTCAGCGGAACAAGACCCAAGGAGGGCCCTCTGCTAAGACTAGCTTCATCCCAAGAAGTGGGGAGATGACGGACCCGACTGGTGTGGTGGCTGGTCCGTCCACTGGAGATCTGGGTTTTGTTGAGCTTGAGTGCCTTACATTTCACCTCCATCTGTTCGGCTAAGGCTGTAATTTCAGCCTGCAACTTGTTTGCTTCTAAAGCCGCTTGAGTGCAACCAAACTAAGTAGGAAAGTAACCAGCAACACTTACCATCATCATTTGGTTCAGTCATTTCTCCACTATCATTCAACTCACTGCCATTGGAGAAATGCAAGACTGAGGAGTGAGAGCCCTTCTCAACATTCCTCCTACCAGCATTGTCGTTACTGTCACTGCCGTTGTCACTGCTGTCATTCTCGTATTCGGGTCGGTCAGCTGTGGTGTAGGTCATGTTGACAGACTTCATCTTGTCCCTCGTTGGGTTTGTAACTGATGCCGGAACTGGCAAGATTTCATGTGTTAAAAATTTTTCATGGTGAGTGGCAACGAACAAGGCCCACCTTTCTTGCTTTTCCGGCTGCCTTGAGAAAGGCGTCGCTTTTTGGAGAGTTCAACTTCAGCCAGATGGGTGGCAATAGCCACTGTTGGGCGACGAGCACGCTTTCCAAGAACAGGAGGAACCGACTCTGCCGAGGATGTGTGAGTAGGTGTGTTACAATTGGGATTGCGGTGTTGTGAGAGCATTGTCAAGCAGGAGGGGTGTTGAACTAGTAGTGGAAGAGTAGAAGATGGTGGAAGGGAAAAAATGGGGTGTGGCGAAGTGAAAAAAAAAACGGGGGTGTTACTGAATCTGCCTCGCCACTGAAATTAGTATCCGCTTATCCCCGAAAAAAAAAAGTGCTCATCTGGCCTTTGCCTCCCAGGCCTGACGTCTGAGCCAACTGCCACACCTTCCGGACTGCTCCATACCTTAGTCTCGGTTCCACAGGTCCCACAAGGGGCAAGTGATGCCATGCTCCAGCTCTGACGCCACCCAATCAAAATCGGAGTGGGTGTGTGAATTTTGTGGTAACAGTCGAGCTTTCCGGTCACATAAAGCACTTCAAGCTCACATTTCAGCCTCTCCGGAGTGCCTAAAACAAAGACTGAATAGATTGACTTACAATCACATAGCCCCTACTCCTTCCTCCCAAGATACCCCGCTGGCCACTTCACAAACACCCTCATCCAGCTTCCAACCATCATTTGACTCTCACAAACAGAATGAGGTCGGCCCCACTGTATACCTTGCTAGCAATCTTGACAATCGCACCGACGACAATTTCCTGAACAATGTTGATGAAAGACAAGATGATGGGCAAGACTCCCATGCCAGTGACGATTCCCGCAATACTCACAGTGAGATGTCAGACTCATCCAACCTAGACATGAGTTCAGACACTGAGCTGGAACACCAGCCGCAATTCCATGGGCTTAGTGCATGGCAAGGCACAGCATTGTCGTTCAGTGTGTTCCGGAGATGTGAAGGGCCAAGGGCAGTGCCAGCGAGAGCAGAGCAGAGAGCAACGTCAGTATGGTCTATTTGGGAGCAGACAGGGGACACCGAAAAACCATACAGCCCATGGAAATCAAAAGCAGAATGGGACTTAGTTCAATGGCTCTGCAAGTGCGAGCTGTCTCAAGCTGAAACAAATTTCTCCAGTTGGAATTTGTGAGTTCACCAATTATCGAGGAAGGCAATTGAGAAACTAACATTGAAATCCCAGATTCACCACCTTGATCTGTCCTTCTCCTCAGCAAGGGAGATGTACACGATAATCTGAGTGTCGCTACCTCAGGGGCCACCTTTCCAGCATGCAACGGTTGTGCTAAAGGATGCCCCAGATGAGCAGCATGAGCTCTATTTCCGCGACATCATTGCATGCTCAGCATTTCTGTTCAGTAATCCTGACTATAAGGAGGTTATTGATTATGAGCCGGAGGAGATTTTTGTGACTGACAGAAATGGGACACCCACAAGAAATTGAGTCTACGCTGAGCTAAGCTCCGGTAGGATCTGGAATGAGGAGCAGGTTAGTAGGTAGATCAAGTATAGTCTGGAAAATATTCCTCATTTCATAACAGTTCAAACTCTCTGAGCAGGGGCTCAGCAATTCCACAATCCTTGCGATAATGCTTGGCTCTGACAAGACTCACCTAACCAACTTCTCTGGCAACAAGAAGATGCATCCTGTGTACCTTTCTCTGGGAAATATTCAGAAATCGGTCCGGAACAAACCTAACAAGCATGCATGGATTCTCTTGGCCAATCTCCCAATTAGCAAATTTGCGGCAACACATTTCGACAATAGCCACTTAGCTGATGAGATGAAGGGAATGCCTGGTCTCCTTCAGAAGATATTGTATCATGAATGTCTTCGCATTGTCCTGAAGCCACTTCATGAGCATTATCGGACAGGCTGCATAATCAGACCAGTGCCCCTGCTTGATGCGCATGGAATGACCCGCACTTGCATCCTAATTCTAATGGCTTGGATTGTGGATCTTGAAGAAGTCCTTGATCTCCTTGGTCTTTGTCGAAACAGCTGTCCAAAGTGCACTGCTCAGTACAAAGACCTTGGTGGAAACTGGACATGCGAATGTCGAACTGGGGATTCAATCATATGTGCCCTCCGAGAGCTGCGAAAAAGGTTCCCTGAAGCGACAACGTGGCAATTTGCGAACAAGGCACAAGACATGGGACTGATAGGTGTCGAAAACCTTTGCTGGGAGGGTCTTCCAGTGGATATTTGCCACGTTGTCTGCCTTGACCTGCTGCATGGCCTTCACAAATACATAAGTGACCATCCAAAGACATGGATCGAAAATTCGATTGGAAAAGACTCACTTGATGCTCGATTCATTGCACAACCGTACCGGAAGGGACAACGTACATTTCACCAGGGGATATCAAAGATATCCCAGTGGTCAGGCCGTGAAAATCGGGATCTTCAGCGCCATCTAGGCGTCATCATCGCAGGAGCATATGAGAAGGGGAAGGAAAGTGTAAATCCAAGAATTGTGAAAGCGACGCGTGCGCTGCTTGATTTCTCTTACAAAGCCCAATTCCCTGCACATTCCGATGTTACTTTGGGGTCAATGATTCAAGATCTGAAAACATACTATTCCACTTCGAAGGTTTTCCTGGACAACGGCGCTCATTGCAATATAAAGGGTGTACTAATTCCTCACTTCCACATACCAAAACACCATAATCTTCGCCATTTCGCTCAAGATATTCGTGATCATGGCACTATGGATAATGGATCGTCAGAAATCACAGAATCGTTGCATATCCCAACATGCAAAGTGACCTATCAATCAACAAATAAGAAGGCTCACACGATACAAATTCTCGATCAGCTTCAACGCGTGGATTCGCTCTTTATCCAAGCTTCCATTCTTGAAGCAATGGGATGCGGTGCTCCTGAGCAAGATGACTTCGACAGGGCAGAAGATTGTTGCGATGGCCAAGCAGCGACATCCGGTGGCAGAGATGTCCCTTTAACCGGCAGCATGACCCCGAGGTCACTTGCTGGTCACATGCCTACTGTCTCTAAGCGGCCTCAGTCCATCGGGTTGCTGGTCTCCTCTGCTGCTATAAAATTCTCCTCACCGGATCTTATATCAGCAATGATACGGTACTTTGTTTATAATGGGAACTCGGGCCTTCGAAATCACCCAAATCGAGATTATTACTCCTCAGCTGCTTTACCACGCCATCTCCAAAGCATCGATATTTGGCACACATTCAAGATACAACTCCCCCAGCCCAATGCTTTCTATCCTCCTGCACAAACTCGGATCCAATGCACCCCCCCAACAGCACAGCAAGGTGGTATCTATTCAACCGTCCTCATCGACATGGATCAAGAATTGCTGGTCTCAGATATACGACGTAAGTACAATGCCAACGGGTTAATTTAGAGCTCATTTTCCGCTGACCCCGGCTCCATACTAGGTTACCGAGTTGGGGAAATCCGATTTGTGTTCACCCTCTCCGAGTCTCAAGACCGCAATGGCTGTGAGCGTTTCAATTTAGGCCCTTTGTTCGCTTATGTCCACTGGTTCAGTCCGATCTCTAAACCCAGTGTAAGTAGCCGCTTCCGCACGGTAAAAAAGGAGGTATATCGTGACATACCAGATGGTGGGATTGTTCCCCTCTCCAACATTGTGGTACCATGCCCTTTAGCACCAGTTCTTCCTGGGCGTCTCCAGAAAGGTAGCATACGCTCCGCGACCTGCATGGAGACAGAGTTGGAGTTCTATATTAATCCTTTTGCAAGTCACATTGATTATGAACTGTATGCGTAACTTCTTGATTCCATATGCAATAGCTATATACAATGGTAATGATGGAGAGCACCGGGAGACACTGGAGCAGCTCATGAGAGTGCAGGGAGCACCAAGAGCGCAAGCGAATTCTTGGAGTCTCCGGAGTCAAACCGAGTTTCCTGATGTACGGTGCGATAGTACTGATCATAAGAGGGAAATTGGGTACGGAGAGTGACACAGGCTGGAAAGCCGGATTGATAACAATCACCCCAAAAGAGGTGACAAAGTAGGTGATCACAAAGACAATTCTCAGTCAAACTGTTCACAGAAAAGCCATGATTTTGGGCATCCACAATTAGTGGATGAGAATATGCCAATATGGTGGAAGTTAAAAACGTTTGAGACCAAAGAGCTGAGGATAAAGTGATAAGAGAATAGAAAGAAAGTGGTGATGGACACCCACTGCATTCGACTGCAAAGGAGTCCATAATGGATGACAGACATTGGATTGCATGCATACACAGAGAGGATTGAAATAGAATCAAAGCAGAATGGGAGGACCCTAAGTTATGAAGCCATTGGCAATAATAGAGGACCCCATCATATTTTCCATTCAGTTTGGCACCAAGAAATTTACAAAACCCCCTACAGAGTAGCAGGAATTTCCTTTTTTCCCTCAGTTCTCATGCATATAGCTTGAGACAGAGGTCAGTAATACTTCCTTTCATTTATCATCCCTTTTACTCCGTAACTTACATGATATGTATCCTTTAGCTAGTGCTTATACCGCGCATCAAGAACCAAGTGATAGGGTTTCCCATCACCAAGAGTTTGTCTCTGCTGCTAAAGTAAATAAGCTGGATGGATAGATGCACAGGACTCAGTCTTGAGTAAGAGATCTAAATGTTATTCTTTTACCTCGATGTGCGGGACTGTAAATACAGTCAGAACTCGCATACAAGAAACACTCCTGAGTGCGGACGTAATCATTTCACCTGTATGAATGCCAAAACATCTGTGTTGTTCCAAATCCTCAAATTTCGCAGAACAAACTGGACAACTGAAATTCTGCACCCAACAATAAGCAGCTGTTCCTCCAGATCCACTATCCAGGCCATCAGAATGGTGACACACAGTCGGAGTTTGCCATCAGGTGATTGCACAATCTCTGATCTACCCTCAGCGGTGCAGGTACTCGTTTCATGCACTTATGGAATAGATGATGAGAAAGAATCCCAGGCATGGATTCCCGTTCTGACTTGTTTCCAGTGAAGTGAGTCTTGGAAAACTTAGAAATAGGTATTTTCGCAAGGAGTAACCACACGTGGGCACTTTGCCATTTCTGAACATTCTTGGAGATATTCCCCAGCGATATATACACAGCATGCATCTTTTGGTTGCCAGTAAAGTTTGTTAGGTGTGTCCGGTCTGATGCCAGGATTATGCCAAGGATTGTGGTTCCCTTGTCAAGTGATAACTGATCAGGTATGTTGCTAATGTGTGCTTACTCGATTGAAGGATGCTTACTCACCTGTTGGAGGTGCCATTCCTCTGTGGTTGTCATTTCCGTGTATACCCTTGTTCCATGTTGATCATATACACGAGAAGGAGCATATGCCATAGAGCCATCGAAATCCGGATTCTGGAATAAGAAGTGGGCACATTCCACCGGGTTGCGCCAATATAAGGTTTGTGGTTCATCTGGAGCCTCATCCAGGGTGACTATTTCTGACGTCCAAGATGGAGGTCCTGGCATTTCTTTGACCTGCTCATACATCGCTGAAGCATTGCGCCAGCTTGGAGGGTCAGGATGTTTGTTGACCTGAATCCAAAGTTTTGTGCTAATAGTTTATAGAAGACATGCTCACATACCCATTGCAGTTTTAGAAAGCAATTTATGGGTTGGGTTGTCAACATACAGTAATTGTCCTGGGCTGAAATTGCAGGCAGAAAGAGGAGACCCTTGCTCCTACTGGAACACAGGGGACTTTTGTCTGGGGGGACTCATCAGCCCTTTTTGCCTAGTATCTATACTTGCACAGTACAGGTCTGTGCACCTGGAAAGCATCCCACATCTGAAATCCTATTAATCTTTGTTGATCTTGGGTGGAAATCAGATTTTACCATAGTTATAGTTAAATTATGATAAAATATGCAACAGAAAGCTACAATGCTGTAGAATTTAATGGAAGTATTTATTTCCATCAAAGGCAAGTAGTTTTTCCATTATTTTAAGAGGGGGCCTAGGGTTCCAGGGTTTGACAAATCCCTAGGGCAGGATCCCTAGCCCTAACCTGGGTCATCCTGCCCTAGGGTCAAAAAATTCCTAGGGACCAGGTTCAGCTTGCCCTAGCGCTAGGGCATCAAGCAGTAGGGCACTCTAGCAAGTTTTACTTTGGCTTGTGCATTTTTGTACCCCCTGGAGGAACAGAGTATGCATCACTGGTTGGGTCACAAAAATATTGTGACACAAGTTGTCACTGCATTTTCTGTTCCCCCTGGAGGAACAGAGTATGCATCACCGGTTTGGGTCACAAACATTGTGACACAAGTTGTCACAGATGCACTTCTGTTCCCCTTGGAGGAACAGAGTATGCATCACCGTTTGTGTCACAAAATCATTGTGACAGAACTTTGTCACACATTTCTGTTCCCCCTGGAGAGGGGGTGTGAAAAATTCAGCGCATTGTGTATTTTATACAACTAGCACTAATATCACTTGTCTCACTTCCACATCCCCTGCCCCCCACATTCCTCCATGGCATTGTTACGACATTCATTGCTCCACCTTTACTCCAACCTCTGCAGCTCCTCTTGCGCCACTTATACTCCCCCTCTTCCCACAGCCAACCAGTTAGTTGATCTTTATTACAATTGGCACTTGCAATGTGCATTACAATGGCCCTCCAGAATTCCTGACCAGTGTAAAACCAAAATAGTGAAGCACTTTTTCGCATTATTATCCTCTCACTCATTGACTACTACAGTGTGCACAGTGTGTGGAGCTGCAATGCTCTGTGTATTTGACAGCCTGGTAGTACTGTACTACTCTAGGGGGCATTTCAGGTCGATTTTAGACTAAGGCCTAAAACGAGTATGTACAAGTGCCGATATATATAATGGAGAGGGCGAAAGCACAAGGAAACAAAGGGGGTCCAAATCGGAATGAAGGCGTCCAAACGGGAACAAAGGGATGACAGAAGTGGAGCGGTACCGAAGGTCATAGGGCTGAACCTGTGGTACATCTGAAAGGAGGTAAGGAGGGCGAAGCCCAGAGGGGCAGGAGGGTGAGGGGAAGTGGGGATGATGACTAACTGGCTAGAATGGGAAGAAGCAGCAGTCCAAATAGGGGTGAGGGGGAAACGTGAAAGATACATTACAAGCGGCAAAAGTGCCAAAGATGATCCATGGAGCTCAGAGGTTGTGGAGCTTACTGTTAGAACCGGGCGGAAACAGACGACTCCGGAGTGGAATCGGAGACTTAGCGTGGAGGGACCTTGGCCTCAGCGACTCAAGCGGAGCGCTGTGCCATTGCTGTTTGTCCATTTGGTCCTTAATTTCACAGTAGGTGAGCAGGAAGTCTCTAGGGGGCATTTCAGGTCGATTTCGGACTAAACCAAAACGAGTATGTACAAGTGCCGATATATATAATGGAAGGGGCAAAAGCACAAGGAGAACAAAGGGTAACCGAATTGGAACGAAGACGTCCGAACGGGAACAAAGGGTAGAAGGAGCAGAGCGGTACCAAAGGTCATAAGGCAGGACCTGTGATACGTCCGAAAGGAGATAGGGAGGGCGAGGCCCAGAGGGGCAGGAGGATGAGGGGAAGTGGGGATGATGACTAACTGGCTAGAATAGGAAGAAGCAGTAGTCCAAATAGGGATGAGGGGAAAACGCGAGAAATACATTACAAGTGGCGAGAGTGCCGAAGGTGATCCGCGAAGCTCAGGGGTTGCGGAGCTTACGGAGGTTACGGAGGCGGGGTTGAAAGTCCGAGGGATATTGGCAATGGTGTTTACGTAGTATGAGGTCACCAATGCAATGGACTAAGACCGAGGTGGAGTCAAAGTCCGAGGTAGGGACTATGACGGAGGCTCGGAGCAAGA